TAAATGTAAAATAGAGAATCCAAACCTAAAAACAAATCTTATAATTAATTTAACATATTATAATTGTGTAAAAGAGGGTAAAATGAAAATCGCAGAAAACAAAGTATTTTTGCAGAAGGGTATCAAGGAAAAAACATTAGTCAAAATTTCTTTTTATTTTATAATTTTGCTCACTTTATATAGTATTTAAGGTTGTATAAGTGTATTAATTTTAATCATATGATGTAACCCACGGTATACCGCGAAACAATTAGATTTTTACATAATATTAATTTAATCTCTTAATTATATATGTTTATTACTCTAATACTAGAGGTTACTCTCCGCGCTATGCGCGGGTTAAATTTCTAATAATAATTGTTTTTCTTTAAGTACAATTAATAATTTGATTTGGGTTGTTATTTGGACAATACTATCCAAATAGTTTTATTTTATTTTGTTACACATACATATTAAGAGTTTACTACAATGTAAAAACTTAATTTACCAAGAAAAGCAATACAATTTGAAAGCAATGAAAATGATTATGTCAAACCATCATACTTCAAGTGTGCGGAAGAAGAGCATTCTAAGCGCGACGAACCTTATCCATCCCGCGTACGCTTTCAAGAAAACAGTAGGGAAGCCAGTGAACGTTTTGGGTGTGGAGAAGAAGGGCATTTCTCGTGTGAAAGCTCGAATTCGTCGAGAATAATAAGCACTTCACGGGGCAGAGACTCACAGCGTTTATGCTACAAATGTAAACGAAGAGGCCATTTTGCTTGTGAATGCCCCAATACCTCCCATTACCAGGTAGTAGCTTTATCTCTCTCTTTCTCTACATTTGTTGCGTTGAGCTCTTCACTTCTATCCTTACTCTTATGTTATTCACTTTGATTTATCTTTTCAGGATAGATTGGATACATATCTAACAAGAAACTCCAATTTAATGCAGAGCATCGACCAATTAGTCAATGATTTCATTTGAGTCCAATTGTTATTATTTGTTCTTTTATTCAGATTTGTTTTACAAATAAATATATGTTAAAAGCTTAAATAAACATGGCTCCAATCCTAGTATAATATGAACCCTATTGGAATTTTAAGTTGAGTTTATAATAGTTCTTATAGAGTATAGCTTAATGCCATCAATAATTTTTTTTTGTAAAACTTTCGAGTATTAACGACGGATTAAATAATAAATATCAAATAAAATTCTTGAAATTTTGATTCAAAAAATCCTAAAAATCAATTTAACCATCCAAAACATAAACCAAAGTATTGAAAATAGGAGAAACATAAATAAAATTCAAAAACATAGTTCAGAAATAACAAATAGAAAAGATCCATGCAACTGTGTAGTCCAGTGAGCCTTTGATGATGAGCTTGGAATCTTGAGCTCTGCCACTTTTGTAAGAAATAAGAAAAAAATATTATAAAATATCTAAAATAAATTAAAGAAAATATAAAATGTAACAAAATAAACATACTTTGATGATTAGTAATTCACTGTATTGATGTCCTCTCGACATCATTAGCAGCATCTTCCACTGTTTTTGGTTCTTCAAAATCAGCCTATGTTTCATCATCAAGAGTTTTAAGAAAATCCTAATCTTAATCACTTTTAACATGTCAAGATAAACACTAAGAGATATAAGACTAACATTCTAGTTTCATCAAAAGAAATTAGGTAAATTACCATGATTAGCTCGTAGCCCTGCATCTTTGTAACTTGTTCAGGTTTCAATTCGCCTTTGAGAATTCTTTCAACTAATACTTGTGAGCTCTACAAACAAATAATAAGAATATCACAATTAAAGAGTCAAATCAAAGGTAAAGAAGAAAGAAATAAACAAAAGCTAAGTTCAATGGTCCTTACACAATTTCTAATGTTATACAATCTTACTATAAAGCTT